ATCTGACATAAGGGAATTCAGTTAGCAGTATTTTTTTAATACTTTTCCTATATTCCCTATTTTGACTAATGGTATTGTGTGTAACCAAGTCAGCAATAGTCTTTAGAGATAACATTTCCCCTTTCTTGTGCCCATATGATGTGTCCTTTTTATTTTACATCCTTAACATCGCATATATTTATTCTATCCCCTTCCTCTTCTCCCTGTTCTACTGCTTGGATCAGACCTTCATCATGTCTTGGCCAGAGTGTTGTAAGAGTATCCAGTGGGCTACTTCATTACTACCAGAATGCTCTTCCTAAAACACAAGTCTAATTCCCTATAAAACATTTTAGTGCGTCTCGATTTGATCTTAACTTCTTGCTAGACTTGTACAGTTCTACTGTCTGATCCAGTTTATCTCTTATCAGCTCTACACACATCCTGTGTTTCAGCCCAATCAGACTATTGATGGTTCTTCCAAATATGCAATGCCATTTCAAGCTTCCGTGCTTTTGCATGGTTAATTGTTTTGTTTCCGGTACCTTGTCTCATCCCTGGGAACTTCTATTCCTACTTTTAGACCTGGTTCAGGTAACTTTTCCCTCTTCTAACTCATTCAAGAGTAGTTGATTACTCCTCATCTGAGCTGCCACTCACTGTACCTAGTATGTGTCTCTGTTACTGCTTTTATTGTGTTATATTGGTGTTTCATTTGCATATCTGTCTCAGACCATGAATAGCTTGAGGGGAAAGACTTAATTTGCATTAGTTGAGCAACATTTAATTGCTGGTTTATACTAAAGATCATTATCATTGAGTATAAATAATAGATATAAATAATATATAGTAGATATTCTACACAAAAGAATTATTCTAAAGACTTCTCAAAATATCTTCAGTGTAAAAATCATGCCAATGTAGTAAGTGAATAGTTTTTGCTGTAGCATAGTTTGTATTGATGGTGTGATTCACTGAGTTGCAAATGACAGGTTAGTGATGTCATGGAGGCTGCAACATGGTGTTGCAGATCGTAACACGGGACTGCCTAATTATAAGAAACCAGTCAGTAACGTATCAGCTGTGCCAATTCTCATGTATTTATACATTTCACCAGTAACACTTAAGAACTGAATTGCAATTATGCAAAAAATATACATTTCACTTCTCAACCCATGCAATATGAAAAACCAAAATAACATATTCACAAAATGCTGAGGGCTGGATTAAGTCTTATCTCAATTGTAGTGATTTGGGGGAGTTATGTAGAAGTTAGAAATATCATTAGCTGGAGCCAGTCAGTTCCCAGAAGTTGGAGGTAGTCAGTCTTGTACTACAAGAGGCATTCAGACATGGTAGGAAATATAAAGGTTCCTGCCTTCAACAATGTTATAATCAGTTCAGTAATTTCCAGTAATTGAAGTTAACCTTCTGGCAACTCCATGTCCTATTCATGTGTGCCTCTCAGCTTCTACTGGTCAGTTTTTTTTTTCCTAATCCGTTATGGGTTAAGAAACCAAAAATAAATGGGCTTTGAGTAAGAGTCCAGATTCTTAGACTTGGTGATAGATGTAAATCAAAGATATTTTGCTTCCAAGTTCAGGGGTGCATTCTGAAGATTTGGGTTGCATAAAGGTCATTTTCTGGTTCTAGCTATTCCCATATATTATTGAACAGTTACTAGAGAATAACTGAGAAGAACTGATTTCCAAAGGTGAGAGTAGGTTTTATAGCTATGATTCTTTACTCCAAGTCTTCCCTGAGGAGGTGATGCTTAAGCTGTAATGACATGCAGTGGTTAATAGGATGAAGAGAAGTAGAAAGAAAAAGGAATGTCATGTAAAGGTGAGAACAAGTTTGGCAACTTGTGAGGTAAGGCCAGGGTGGCTGCAGCAAAGTGAATGAGGGAGGGCTAGACAGGAGATATGGTTGGGTGCATAATCGAGTCACATTTTGGTGATTTTTGAACTTGATTTTAAGAGCAATGGGAAACCATTTTTGAGAAGAGGAATGAGATAATTTACATTTTATGAAGATTATTCTGGCTGCTTACCCTAGGAAGACTGGAATTTGAAAGTTAAAAAGGAGAATGGGGGGCTTCCCTGGTGGCGCAGTGGTTGAGAGTCCGCCTGCCGATGCAGGGGACACGGGTTCATGCCCCGGTCCGGGAAGATCCCACATGCCGCGGAGTGGCTGGGCCCGTGAGCCATGGCCGCTGAGCCTGCGCGTCCGGAGCCTGTGCTCCACAACGGGAGAGGCCCGCGTACAGCAAAAAAAAAAAAAAAAAAGGAGAATGGGAAGGTTATAGTTGTGGAGAGATGAAAGTGGCGTGGTAGACTAGGGTGGTGGCGGGGCAGGGGGGAGTGGATGGACTTGGGATTCATGTTCAAGGTAGAATCAGTAAGGACTTTTTATGTTCCAGCGGTATGATTGCTTTTAGTTGTTTAGCTATCTCCCGTTACAGTTTCGTGTCTGCTGTTCTCTTTTCCCCTTTCTTGTTTTGTCCAGCATGCAAACTCCCATTTATCTTTCACAACCTGGCTCAGAAGCCATTACTCTAATAACATGATTTGGTGTATACACTGGCATGTTCATTATTTATTAATTGCTCTTTTAGTTTAATCAGTTTTACTGTAGTCAAACCTAAATTACAGGGTTAGGAAGTGAATGAGTGATTATGAACTTTACGCACTACTCAGAATTTGATCCCAACTCTAAGAGAAGTGTTCCAGAGGATTTTCATATATTGAGCATAACTGAATTCCTGATACTTACATTTGTGAGACAGAGTGCCAGTGCTTCACAGGAAGTATCTTTATACAAGGAAATAATTATCCTCCAGAGGGCGCACATTACAAAGCCATTGTGGTCAGCTAAAACTGATTCTATACTAAGATCAAACACCTCCCTCCATCTACTGGTCATAGGAAAAATTCGTCTTGCGTTTACATATTTTTGAGCTTTCTAACACTACACTCATGTGCATTTTTTCTTTCATGTGCCTTTATGAGACAATACAAAATTTCTCATAAGTATCTGCAAAAAAAGTTTACCTGTACTTGGATTTAGAAATAGCTGTTCTTGTCTTTTTCTGTTTACTTTCAGGCACAATTCTGAATTTGGCATAAACTTGCCCTTTGTGATGACTCGTAGCTGAAGGAAATAATCTTCTCTCTTCCTAAAATAATAGTTTTTACTACACTAATTTATGTATATTTTATAATCCTCATCATTAAATTGAATATCATATCCTGGAACTATTTTAAACTCTTGTTTATACCGCTCCACAAAATAGTGTTACTCCAATTTTTCTTGGTGCTTTATTGTTCCATAACTAGGAACTGAATTTATGTGATGAAAAGTCACATAAAACTATATAACTAAATTTTGTTTTATTTATTTTGATTTGTTACAAGACTAAAGTGTGTTAATATAACTAAACAGCTGTTGAGTAATGTGGAATGCACATAAAGCAAATATTCTTATAAACATATAGTTATATTTAGTAACAGAGTACTCTGCTATATATAGATTACCATCCTCAGTAGTCAGGCCATGTTAGAATAATGAAATTTAGACTCAGGGAGTAGCAAAAGCTAGATTATGGAGTTAAAGGTGAATAGGTAACATTTACATAATAATTAGTATTCACATTGATTTTTCTCAGGCTCTATTATCAACAAAAGGTTAACCACTACAGAACTGAAGATCATAACCAATATTTCTTTACAATTTGCTTTTGTGTTGATTCTGTGGAAATCATAGTTTTGACCTGAAGGAAAGAAATGATTCTACAGTAGTTCAAGACCCCCGGTGTTTGCCTGAAACCAAGGACAGTACTAAACCATATATATGCTGTGTTTCTTCCTATACATGCATACCTGTAATATAGTTTAATTTATAAATTAGGCACAGTAATAGATTAACAAGAATAATAAAATAGAACAATTATAACAATATACTGTAATAAAAGTTGTACGAATATGGTCTCTGTCCTTAATTAACTCCTTCAACTTTGCCAGAAATGTGACAATGACTTCTTCATTAGCAGATGTAGCCTCTACAGTAATTTTATATTTTTCAGTCCAAACCTGTTCCTGAAACTAGGCAGCCATCCCTTACTTGCAGCAAATGGCCTGGTGTCACTTGTTTCAGGGAATCCTTTGCTGACATCTTTGTATAGGCTCAATGTTTTCTGGCATAATACATTACCATCGGTCAGAACATGTTTTCTGTTCATGTCCTTCATCCACAAATTTAATGCCTTTTTCATCGTAACTAAGTACTTTTCACACACTGTGGCCATAACTTCTGCAACAGCAAAGCTAGCACAAATTTCTTTTTTCCGTCACAATTTTGTGGATAGAAGATTCGTTCTTACCATGGATCTTAGCAACCTTAGCATACATTTTTTTTCTTTTCCTTAAGTTGAGAACTTTCACCTTTTCAATTAAAAGAAGCACTTTAGGGCCTCTCTTTGGCATATGTGAATTTCTACCATCACTACTTTTGAGCTTTGGGGCCATTTTTAAGTACAGTAAGGGTAACATGAACACAAGCACTGTGATACCACAATAGTGGATCTGATAACTGAGCCCGCTGTTAAGTGACTCACAGGACAGGTGGGATATGCTGGACAAAGGGATGATTCACATTCAGGGTGGAACAGAGAGAGATGGCAAGAGATGTCTTCATGCTACTCAGAATGACTCACAATTTAAAACTTACGAATTGTTTATTTCTGGAATTTTCCAGTTTCTATACCTCAACTGATGGAGCAACTGAAACCATAGAAAGTGAAACCACGGATAAGGAGGGACTACTGTACTCTGCTAGCCACTTGATTTGGGGTTTTCCCCTTGTTATTTAACTAATGTTTAAACATCAGTGGGGTTTCACCTATGTAATTGTTTTGTTTTTTATAAATGTGTGGATTTTCTCTTAACATTATTCACATTTTAGCAATGTGTGGGTTTCTTTTCTTTTTTTCCTTCATTTTAATATCTCTTTCTAACACACAGGAATACTCTGAAGATAGTAACTCTGAGCCAAATGTGGATTTGGAAAATCAGTACTATAATTCCAAAGCATTAAAAGAAGACGACCCAAAAGCAGCATTAAGCAGTTTCCAAAAGGTTCATATGTTTTCTGGCTGGTTCTGTGTCTTATATTTTTCTAAATGATGTCTTAAATCAAGTAAATTCCAAGTGATTTTGTATCAGTAGTACGTTTGGATACTTAGTGATAATCCTGTAAAATAAGTTTGCATTATGCAACAAAAGCAAATATTTGAAAAGGGCTATCCTTTTGTTTTTTCCAATCAGGTTATCTGTAGAGCAGGGCCATTGTCCTGAAAAGCTAGTATGGTTCTGGCAGAAAGAGAATCAACATGCTGGTCAATAGTTACTATCCCTGCAATCCTGTTCCTTTGTCTTTTGGTGACAAATCACACAGGTGTGGTTTCATTATTAAATAGTGTGATTTCTTTCCTATTGATAAACTTTTGGGTTATTCTTACCAGCGGATTTTTCAGAGGAATAAAAAGTACTTCTGGGATTGTATAATCAAGAAGTAGTTCTTATTTAATCTTTTGATGAAGAAACTTCAAAATAAGCTCACTTACCTTAAGTAAGCATTTTAAGGCTGGTTTCTTTTCTTAAGCCTATTAAAAATGACATTGAGAAGTAGAGTTCTTGGGGCAGTGTTTTTCATGCATATAATGTAAAATTAGTTTACAACTTAGATATTGAGTGTCATTAGAAAATAACGGTATTAAATTATACTGGAAGTTTCTTCTTTTTTTAGGTTTTGGAACTTGAAGGTGAAAAAGGAGAATGGGGATTTAAAGCACTGAAACAAATGATTAAGATTAACTTCAAGTTGGTAAGATTTGTTTCGAGAGGAATTAAACTGTTAATGAAATTCTGTACTTAAAAACCTCATGGCAACAAAATGTCATTATATCTATTTCTCTAAAATAATTCTGTTGATATGTTTCCATATTTAGCCTGCTTTTCATTTGTGACTACAGTAGTACTAAATTTTAAAAATTCTGCATAGGATACAAAGTTTTCTGTTTAAGAAAACTTATCTTTTCGATACATGGGCAGTATTTAGCTGCATTATTAATAGAATGACTTTTCGCTGCCAGGCTAGGTCAATCAGTAGAGCATGAGACTCTTAATAGAGTGACTTTTAAACAAACTATTAGTGTTTATTTTGGAGTTCTGAGGTTGTACTTTTTATTACAAAACGTTCCTCTTCAACTGATTAGGGCCAAAACCTTCATGGCTCCTCTCTTTGTCTCTCACCCCACAAATAATCCATTGGTAAACCCAGGTGGCTTTATATATCTTCAGAATACGTTCAGTATATTTTATAATTTAGAGGGCTATGGAAGCATCAGGTGTCTCAGGGGATGGAGATTTTGATTGAACAATTACGGTGACGTTACGGGCCCATGTTCAACTCCTAAGATTCTGTGATTTGAAATAATACCAAGAGACCCTATAGAAATCTACTATTTTAACATACTATAGCAGTCGTTTAGTTTTTGAGCCCGTTTAAATGTATGCCACCCGTAGGGTTTGATTTTACCATTTTACCTTGAGCCACGATGGGAAGCAAGTGAAAGGAGAGGACTATTTGTATTTTGTGTTATTTTGCCTACCTTCCTTCTCTACCTTTTATATGCTGTAGTAGCACCTCTGAATAAGTTGTGGTTTACAAGAGTAGTTTCAGCTTCCATCCCTGCCGCCTCATTTTTGAGTTAGATTCAGAGTCAGACTCATGTTTCTGTGTAGTCCTCTTGGGCAGTAAAAAGTTAGAAAGGTTTGTTGTCAGCTGCTCTGTGCATTCACCACTGCAAATAAAAACCAGTAAACCTAATCGTCCCTCAATCTTTAATTACAGTAACATAATTTTTGAAAAATTAGCTTTAAAGTTATTGTGGCATAAGGAAATGAAGTCAAAACTAACTTTTTGCTAAAATCCTATTTCAGTATCAAGATATAATCTCAAAGTTGGGACAGTCATATTTCTGATTTCCATTTTGCTAGGAGATACGTTCTATAACTTGGGTTTTAGTGGCTCATTGAGAGGGTGTTACCTATTATTTACCCCCACGTGGTGTTGGTATACTTGGAAACGAAAGTAGTTTGATGTATATTGCTAAAGCTTTTCTCATTGTTCTATCTGTTTTTTCTCACCTACCCCTACTAGTTTTCTTTTTTGTAATTCACTTGCTTAGAACGTTTCAGGGAGTCTTCTCATGTTTTTCTTTTTTTGTCCTTCATGCTATATACCAGGGCAGAACATAGTCATAAGCAGAAAAATTACAGTGTCATTAATTTATTCTTCACCCTAATAAATTTACATGTTCTGTCATTCAAGAAAAAAAGCATTGTATCTGCCATTGCTCCACTCTGTGATTAAAAGTAGAGTATATTGTTAGTCCCAATAAAAAGAGGGATTAACAGCACTTGGAGATTGTGGGGACTGTGGATGCAGGTTATAAGGTTAGACTCATAAGTTGACTTATATGATATGCTCTGAGGGATGATAGACCCTCTGCCAAAATATTTAAGTGCTGGAAATTTCACTAATAGTCCTTTATTTCCTCAGATCTTTCATGTTACCTGGAATAACCACAGTAATGCAAATAGTCCTGCAAGGAATAGCAACAGTAGCTACATCTGCTGTTGAGTAGGGCCTTAGGTGGGAGGACTTTTCCCCTTTTTAGGGGTTGGGAGGACTTTTCTTGATAGTGGGATGAGTACCTGGGCTTGAAGAGATTCTTTCACTTCACATTTTAATATAAAAGCCTGCCAATAATAGGGAGAGAAGAAATACATAACTATTGTTAGAGAGCTTCCTGATGAAGGGGTAAATTTTTAGGAAAGAATATTTGAAAAGTAGGACTTATTTCTATCTTTTGGTCTATGAATATTTTAGTAGTTTTTGTGATTTAAATAAATGTGCTTGTTGTGCCATGAGGAACAATATCTGAAATTTGGAAAATCTGTAAGTGGTACTTTTTCAAAGCCTAACTTCAAAAATTTGATTCATTTACTGAGTAATCTAGTAATTACAAATTTAAGCTAAATTTTTTATTTATGTTTCTGTCATACAGTTTCTCTATTATTGAAAAACTATTTTTCAATTAGCTAGTAATATGTACTATAATCTTAATCATGTGTATATAACTTAGTAAATAAATATATACCTAGTAATGCACTTTTCTTCCCTCACAGACAAACTTTCCAGAAATGATGAACAGATATAAACAACTATTGACCTATATTCGGAGTGCGGTCACAAGAAATTATTCTGAAAAATCCATTAATTCTATTCTTGATTATATCTCCACTTCTAAGCAGGTTAGATTCTGTTTTTCCCTCTTAGTACTTATTAATATGTTTATCATTTATACTACGGGCTTTGCTTTTTTGTTTTTAAGGCCTAGAGGTTTTATTTAAGCAGTTATGCTCGTTTTTATTTTTAGCGTGCTTTAAAAATAATGTGTATTTTATTCTTGATTACAGTACTAATTGTATAATATTAAAAGATTATAACCCTAGCTTAATCTCTTTAAATATCATCTTCAGATACTAACAATCTGCACACAACTTTTGCAGGCTTATATTAGACTCCCATACAGTTACTATCACAGTTCCTTCTAATAAACTTCATCAGCACTTCAGCTAGCCACCCTGAGCTGTTAATACTTAACAGTGAGTCAGGTGGTTTGTGTAGATTTGATTAGATAAAGATCCTTGTGAGGAGAACCTGTACTCATATCGATTAGTAATTGGCATTACTCATTAGGTGTTCAATTCAATAAGTTCTATTACAAAGAATAGGTGGATGATGGATGATGAAACTACAGTGGGTATGGGGAATGATAGTGCTTTCATTATTCTAGTCTTTGATTATTAAGAAAAGCAATGATTATTTTATTGCTAAGGTAATTTTTAATTGGACTGTTCGTTTATATTCTTTTAAGCAACATAGTCCTAAGTTTCAGCTTTCTTACGCTATGATGTTGGAGCACAAGAAGTATTTTCTATATCACTTAGCATTTCTTAGAACGTTTGATAACTCTTTGTACTCAAAAAATGTTCATCTCAGAATCATCGTCTTTCATTCTGTCTTTTCTGCTAGATGTTGTTTTTATTTCTTGAGGCAGTTTATTTTTACTGTTTATATCTAAAATATATGTAATGGAAATAGAGGAAGATAAACTTATGTTCAGAACATTAACACTTAATGGCACTAATTCTAGAGTTCTTAAATATCAGGGGGCTTTTCTTAAGTGGAAAAATATTTTCTGAGTTTTACAAACAAGTGTTATCAAAACAGTTTTTTGTACATTATTCATAAATGGTATGCCAGATATTGGGGGGGAATTAAGTAATTTAAAACTTTAAGATTGTGTGTTGCTTCATGCTATTATATGTAAGCTTTTTGTCTTTTTGAAAGTAAGTATAGATATTGGTTGGGCAACACTTGACTTACTGTGCCATCGGCAGTCGTGAATAAATAGGCAACCTTTTCTGAAAGTATCAAGCTTTCCTGTTCTCATGGCCCTCTTACCTCTTGATCCTGTTAAGTAGAGACCTAGAGAATCAGGTATTCAAACAAAGGTAGAGCCAGAAGCGGGGGGAGGGGGACAGAGGGGCTTATCATAATGCAAAACAAACAGCAATTTCCATTAAAAAAGTCAGACTTATGAACTGATGGTGTTAGACTCAGCTAAAATTGTGCTAGACTTTTCCCTCCGCTCAACTCCAACAGTTTACCAGTAACTTAAAAGCTTGTAGTCCAGTTAATTGATTAGTGACATTTATAGAAGAATTTTTGAGGGAAGAGGCTTATTCTTTGTTTCTTTAACAACTTAGTGTTTGCCATATAGTAGGCACCAAATAAGAGTTGAGTGCATAAGATATACACTATTAATAATAAACAGCACAACTAGTTCTATGTGCATGTCATTTACTTTGCTAATATAGAACAAGTTATTAGATTGAAAAGGACAAACCTGTACTACTAAAGCATTAGACATTTTCTGGGTTTTATTTTTTTTAACGCATAAAAACACATCTTGGCACTTTTTGTAAATTTGGTCTGTACTTTGCTAAAGTTTTGTTAATTTTGTGGACTGTCACAGACATTCAATAAGATACAGATAGTGTATCTTATGTATATTAAAGTTCAAAGATGCACTTTTAGTTTGCTCAAATTAACTTTATTAACAGGTACAAATTTGCTGTTTACAATTATAGAATTCTGATTTTTTATGTCAGATGGATTTACTGCAGGAATTCTATGAAACAACACTGGAAGCTTTGAAAGATGCTAAGAATGACAGACTGTGGTTTAAGACAAATACAAAGGTAACAATTATAATTACATTTTTTTTCTTTTGAAGAGTGGGCGGGTATCCTTGATAAACTCTATAAAGATGCACCTTCTGTTGAAATCTTTTAATTTTAATAAGTTTATTTTTTTACAGCTGGGGAAATTATATTTAGAACGAGAGGAATATGGAAAGCTTCAAAAAATTTTACGCCAGTTACATCAGTCCTGCCAGGTAGCATTCTTTTATTTTTTCTTAATATTTCTTCATAATAAAAAAGCATAAGAAAAAATTGTATTTGAAACATTGTTTAGGGATGTTTTTGTTCAAGCATCATTGCAAAAATAAAATTTGGAAAATAAGTTACCAGAAAGCTAATTTTCTCTGAGAATTACATTTCTTCCTCCTAGTCCTAATTTCAATCCTTATTTTTGTAGAATGAGGCATAGGTATCAATAAATGAACAGACCAGTCATTAATACTAAGAATAAGGCTTTCATATTTAATTATGTACCCTATGAAAATTGGAAAGGATATTATAGACATACATCATAAAGATATTTTATATTCTAGTTTTCATGTATGAATCCTCTGTAACACCACTGTCCCATAGAACTTCATGTGATGTTAGAAACATTCTGTAACTGTGCTCTCCAATATGGTAGCATCAAATACATGTCATCAAGCACTTGAAACGTGACTAGTGAGATGAAGGTACTGAGTTTTTAATTTAATTTAAATTTGGATAACCATGTGGTCTGGACAGTACACCTGTATAACTTTCTAAATGTGAGCTGTAATTTTGTATTTCCTTTTTTGTCTTGATCAATAAGTTACTTGATATTAGTTTAAATATTATGTAGAAATACTGTTTTAAATATTTTTATGCTCTTTCAATGCCATGTACTCTTACTTTAATTATATGTGTTATTTCTGTGAATGGGTAAAAAGTTAATCAGAAAAGTGTTCTAAATCATCTGCAGATATTTTCATTTAATAACTTTACCTTTTTTTAGTTTTTAAAAACAGGAAAATGTTTTATATTTCATAATAGGTTTGGTTTATAAGGCAGATCAGTCATTTATGGATTGTTTCTTATCTATACATTCTTAAGGGAATCTGATACATAACCAGCTGTGTGTTCACTTCCACATGAAATGAAAATGGTTGAGAAGGCATTTCTAATTTTAAAAAGTCTTACAAATATATACATAAGGAGTATGAAAAAGCCCTCTGGAGAAGTTTTTGCTTGGTTTATTTCAGAACATAAGGAAAATGCCATCTGGATTGTAAATAACATTAAAGCATAGAGAGATGCATAATAATCTGAACGTACAGATTGTCTTACATATCATATTTTTTGGTCTGGTTGTGACTCAGTGAAAAACAAATAAAGGGAAGTTTTAAGTTGGAAGACTAAATAAATAATAAATTTTGGCTTTGTGTATGTCAGTGCTTGATGTTATGATTATCTGACTGTTGACCATATTCTGTTTTTCATGGCCTGTGTTTTGTGGGCTGTTGGTCATCTTTCAAAGTCGAACTCAGATCTCCCCACCTTTGTTATTCCCTTGACATCCCCCAAGAGAATTAGTCCTTTCTCTTCCATTCTTGGCATTTGGTTCATACTTAACTAGAGTTATTATCATTTATATTATAATTTATCTGTTGACAGATTGGTCTTCTAGATTATGAACTTTTTGAGATCAGGGACATTGGCTTATTTAAATTTGTATTTCCCCAAGGTAGTCCCAGTACCTGGCTCTAGGAAGGCTCTTGAGAAGTGCTTTTGATTGAATCAGTGGATCTAAAGTAGTTGTGAAGATTTGGAGAAGACCATTCATAATCTCCTAGCTAAAACAAAACATTGCAACTTTTATACATAAAAAAATACCTCTGGCCACTTTTTTCCTATTGAATGACTAGAAAATACAAAAATGACTAGAAAATGGGTTCCTTTTTGGCCATTGAAGGTCATGTTCTTAGTAATCTAGGTCCCAACTGAAATTTGTTATGCATTTTCCCACAGAATTAGTATTATAAGTGTAAGGTTCTCAGGGTAACTCAAGTAAAAATCACTAGGTTGACTCTGAATTCTGTCTTGACTAAATGTTCATTATTTGCTTTCCTAGACTGATGATGGAGAAGATGACCTGAAAAAAGGCACACAGTTATTAGAAATATATGCTTTGGAAATTCAAATGTACACGGCACAGAAAAATAACAAAAAACTTAAAGCACTCTATGAACAGTCACTTCACATCAAGTCTGCCATCCCTCATCCACTGATCATGGGAGTCATCAGAGGCAAGTTTGGTTTGGAAAGGGTGGGCAGTTGTCATGGGAAGATATCAAGGTGTCCTTACATATGATTGAGTGACTCTGAAGGTTGTTTGTTTTAGTGAAAATAAAAGGCAAAGTAGTGAAGTCAAAGAAATGATCTAGTCTTAGAAGGGAATTAGGATGAATCTTTGTCTTTGTAAAATTTACATCAGTAAAGATATTATTAATAAAAAATTCACCATCAGAAGTTCTATTGTTGAATTGTAATGATATATATATAATTACTTTCTTTTTTAATGATTTATTTTTTATTGAAGTATAGTTAATTTACAATGTGTTAATTTCTGCTATACAGCAAAGTGACTCAGTTATACATATATCTACATTCTTTTTTATATTCTTTTCCTTTATGATTTATCACAGGATATTGAATATAGTGTGCTGTGCTGTACAATAGGACCTTGTTATTTATCCATTCTATATGTAATAGTTTTCTATTAACCCCAAACTTCCGGTCCATTCCTCCTTCCCCTCCCCCTTGGCAACCACAAGTCTGTTCTCTATGTCTGTGAGTCTGTTTCTGTTCTGTAGATATGTTCATTTGTGGCTTTATTTTATATGAGTGATATCATATGGGATTTGTCTTTCTCTTTCTGACTTACTTCACTTAGTATGATAATCTCTAGTTGCATCCATGTTGCTGCAAATGGCATTATTTCGTTCTTTTTTATGGCCAGGTAGTATTCCATTGTGTATATGTACCACATCTTCTTTATCCATTCATCTGTCGATGAACATTTAAGTTGTTTCCATGTCTTGGCTACTGTGAGCTCTGTGAACATAGGGATACATGTATCTTTTTGAATTATAAGTTTCTCTGGATATATGCCCAGGAGTGGGAATGCTGGATCATATGGTAATTCTGTTTTTAGTTTTCTGAGGAACCTCCATACTGTTTTCCATAGTGACTGCACCAATTTAACATTCCCACCAACAGTGTAGGAGGGTTCTTCCCTTTCCTCCACACCCTCTCCAGCATTCGCTATTTGTAGACTTTTTAATGATGGCCATTCTGATTGGTGTGAGGTGGTAGCTCATTGTAGTTTTGATAAAATTACTTTCTACTTCAACTGAGAATAAAGATTTGCAAATGCTTGTTTGGCTGATGTTTAATGAAGAGCTTGCTTTTAAGAATTAAAGTATGTGCCCTTTACACACTACAGGAGCTAGTAGTCTTCAAGATATAGAATTAAAAGACTGGAAGCACTGAAATAGTTTTCATTTGATTTTTATAAAGTGTTCAATCTTGTTATTACAGAACTGAAAATGTCCTCTTTTCTCCTGTTTTATTCTTTACAGAATGTGGTGGTAAAATGCACTTGAGAGAAGGTGAATTTGAAAAGGCACACACTGATTTTTTTGAAGCCTTCAAGAATTATGATGAATCGGGAAGTCCAAGACGAACCACTTGCTTAAAATATTTGGTCTTAGCAAATATGCTAATGAAATCGGGAATAAATCCATTTGACTCACAGGAGGTATGTTTGTGCTCTAATTCTTCATTTCTATCAGCTATCTCTTGTGAAAATAAATGTATTCTTTCTTTGTACATACACAATTAATTCTTCTTCTTTTTTTTTAACTGTTTAGGCCAAACCTTACAAAAATGATCCAGAAATTCTAGCAATGACGAATTTAGTAAGGTAAGCTTTAATATTTCAGTTAAGGTAAATTACCTTAAAGCAGTGAATAAATAGGAGAGAGGAGAGAACTTTTCAGAATTCAGTTAATACTCAATGTTTGCTCTCTTGTATTTTGGCTTGAAGTATACCAAAGTTGATGAAATTTTTGAAGTCATTTATTTTACTGTTTCTGTTAGTCACGAGATTTTATAAGTATTCATTATCTGTATGAGTGTGTGCACACACTGTTTTTCAGTAGAAAGCTGTAGAGGTTTTAGAACAATTTCACAATGTTACAGTTTCTACCTGCCTTAATCCAAAATGAAATTATGAATTGGTCTACATTAGTCAAGAATTTTCAGTAAGACAGTTTCTTTACTTGTATATTTTCTTAATTGACAAGATTAAAAATCACTTTAAATAAATTTGCCTCAGCTAAATTTCTGATGTAAGGAGCAGCAGAGGTGTCATACTGGTAAGAAATCTAAGGATTTATTATTGCCTTTTGTGGAGAAAGATATGACTAATTATAGCTAATGACTAAAAAACCTGCCATAATCAATTAATATTAAACAAAATTAAAGAAAATGAAACCAAGCAAAGAGCCTAGAAAAGACCTGTTTTTGTAAAAGAAATCAATGAGCAAGAAAAATTTTCCTCTGGGCCAGGAATAGATGGAGCCTAGGCTTTAATGGGCTTTCTTTATAGAAAACCAAGGAACTTACTAGGTTTCAAGTCCATTGTTTAGATTGTACGGCTGAGTACCAAGACAGGAAGAATGTAGTTAGGGACATGGTGCAAGGTTGGGTTTTTTTGTTTGTTTTCAGATACTTTTAGGTAATTTAGATGACCAGGCATTGTCTTAATAGTCTTTTTTTTAATTTAAAAAAGTAATGTTAGACTATAAATTATGAGTCACCTACATATAAATTTTATATACTTGGAGAGAATAGCTTATTTCATAATACTGTTTAAGCTTCTATGTAAAATGTCCTCATTTACTTTGTTTTTATTTGGCTATGACTTTTACAAGTTACTAGGCTTTTTGTTTGTTTGAAACCTTAATTTTAGCTGTAAAAAATAAGAAAGATTTTATTTTAAGGGGACTACGAATGGTTAGGGGATAAAAAACCTAAACTGGGCTTCCCTGGTGGCGCGGTGGTTGAGAGTCCGCCTGCCGATGCAGGGGACACGGGTTCATGCCCCGGTCCGGGAAGATCCCACATGCCGCGGAGCGGCTGGGCCCGTGAGCCATGGCCGCTGAGCCTGCGCGTCCAGAGCCTGTGCTCCGCAACGGGAGACGCCCCGCAACAGTGAGAGGCCCACGTACCGCAAAAAAAAAAACACCTAAACTGCAACATTAAAAAATCAGTTTCTTTTTTATTGTTTACTTCTTTAGTTTATCTTAATATATATTTGTTGAATTAAGTTGATTTTAGTTATGAAAGGAGGCTTCTCCATCTTTATTTCAAATAGTTTATTCTACCTACATTTGGCCACATTAAGAGATTATCTGTTTATAGAGGTTAGCTACATAATACTTTTAAAAAATGTTTATTAAGTTATATTGCTAAGCAACAGTTTAACTTTTAAAACTCTTAAAGAAATATTGAGGGAAAGTTTTGCCCTGGACATTAATATTTTGTTCAAATTAAATTGGTTAAATGCATTAAATGGATTAAAGTACTGATTTATCAGACCTTTAAAAAGTAATGGCTATATTTGTATATTATGTCTTACAATTTACTCTAGTGAAGCCTCTGTATTGGAACTCTAAAACTTATTTTAATGATAAATTTTGAAAGAAGTGGCCTGTGGTGTCCCACATTTTGTGTAAGATTTTTTTTTTTTAAGCCACTTAAATAGTGGAAGAATGTCTTTTGGTTAAAATATATGTGTGTGCAAGTGTTTTCACTATTTGAATATATCCTCCTATAGTATTATATATTACAATAATATATTTGGGGTAGGTAAGAAAAGTAATGCTTCCTAATTTTATCTTCCTAGTCAGTTGCCAGCAGACTAGAGGAAAATAATTCCTGTTGAAGCACTTGAATCACCTGTCCCTAACATGAAGTTACATTGCGACCCAACAGATGGAAGCACAGCAGAGGGCGTGCAGAATGGCTGATGATATGTCTTACATATAAAGCAGACAGTGGTGCCATATCCAGAAGGTTGGCTTCTTCCTTCTCAGCACCTGTAGCAAAATCCCCATAGTGCCTCCGAGAGTAGATAGTAGACGTCTCAGAGAATCATGAATGTAAATCAGCCTTTGGCCTTCTGCAGCAGTGTCCATCACTCTCTACTTTGTGTGTGTATCCCATTTGGCACTAATTATCTGCCACCAATGTTTCTGCTGTATAGCTCAGTGGAATTCTAAGGCTAGAGAGAATTGAGAATCAAATGTTCCCTTTAAGAAGTTTTGGCAGTTGCTGGTACCTTTCTAGAAGATAAAAATTAGGAAGCTGCATTTCTGAATAACCTTCAGGGAGGATATACTGTCTTATATCCAAACTCCTCCATACAGTAGTATGCATGAAACCTGGTTTCTTAGGGATTAAACGCACAATTTAAGTTAAAAGCATCAAGCATTAAACAGTTATTAAACTGTTGTCAATTCTTAATACCAAGATTTAGGGAAGATTTTAATTAGCTATGTATAAATATAATATTATAACCCCAGAAGATATAATTTATCTTTCCTTTATAAAACCAAAAGCATTAAAAAGGAAATTCATTTTATTTTCAGAAGGATACATGTGTGTTTAATTCCAATTTCCATGACAGAAACTATAATATAATTTAGATTTTTGCATATAAAAATTGAGAAATAGGCTCTTTGGTTTATCTGATTTAATATATGACTTCTTCATGTTTGACAAAATTTATGCTTTTCTTTTTCTCTTAGTGCCTATCAGAATAATGACATCACTGAATTTGAAAAGATTCTAAAAACAAATCACAGCAACATCATGGATGATCCTTTCATAAGGGAACACATTGAAGGTATATTCTTTCTGCTGATATTGTTACTTTCTTTGTCACTGTCAAACAGTACTTCTTAATGGAGCTACATGGAATTAAGCTGTTTTTCTTCTGTTTATTGCAAAATATAGAAATGTTTCTAAATGCTGTCATGGAATGGAATATTCCTTAAAATTATAAAGCTGTTTTAAAGAAATCACTAGCCAATTTCATTTATTAATGTAATCAATTTCTTATATGATGTCGATTTCATTTAAGGTGGCTGTCCCTTTTACCTTCTTATTCTAATTTAGATATTGTTGCATGTTTATTACTGATGTTGAAGTTCAAAGTTAATTTTTAGGATTTATTTTTGACAACAAAAGTTTTGAAAACAGCCTGCTGTTGATAATGCTGAGATGCACTTACTTTGAAAAGGTAGGCTAACACTGTACCAACAAATGTATGAGATTTTTAATAAGTTCTGATTAACAAAGATAAAAGTCGTCTCTTTGTTCTGGAACCGCTTATACCTCCAGTGTTCCTACCTGTTATGGAGCTATTTGAGGGTTTTTAATAACCATTTGGGACAACTTATTCAAATACTTGAATTCCAGATGCATTAAGAAAATCCAAAGATCAGAAGCAATGTTCTTTTGTTCCTCACCTTCCTTTCTCTTTCATTCAGCAGATATTTTTAAAGTTCTTATTTGAACTTAGAACGATACTATATTTTGTGGCGTAGAAAAATATAGAAGTCTTGTGCATGAACTTCTATCTATTTTTTTTAAAGGACACTTACATGAAGAACTAGGGACAATTGTAAAATCATTGTATAAAATGTACTACTCTAGGTTTTGAAAGAGCATAAAATAAGGAACTTGCGGGTACAAATTAGAGCTTCTTGAAAGAGGAAACTGTAGAGGAAATGATGAGCAGTGAAGTATTATTGAGAAGGCAAGAGGATATTTTAAGTAGTATCACAACGTGAGCAAAATCAGGGAGGTGGGAACAAGAAAAAATTATGTGAAAGACAACCTTTAATCATACTATGCATCTGTTGAACCCAGATGTTTTTAGATACAAATACCTTATGTTCTTGTTAGGAAGAAAGATGTATTTTGAGAAGATAAATGATATAGTTAATTAATATAATTTAGAAGTACATAGTGATTCATAAAGCTATACAAACTAGTAAATACAATTGTGTTATTTTAACTTTTTTCTTTCAGAGCTTTTGCGAAACATCAGAACACAAGTGCTTATAAAATTAATTAAGCCTTACACAAGAATACATATTCCTTTTATTTCTAAGGTACTTTTATTCATTGATTTTAATATTTATAATTTGTAGTTATAAATGCAGTATACCTATCGTCTATTTAAAAGAGTGATTCTTGTTAACATTTTGTAATACTACCTTTTTAAAATACAGCATAACTTAAGGTTTTTCCTTTTAGTGTGAATTTTTCTGTTTTCCTGGCATAAATTGAGTTAAAAGAAAAGAGAAATAAGGAATCATTATATTTCATTTTAAAGATTCCTTCAGCCTCAGAGAAAATTGTAGGAGAGAAAGTGGCTAAAATATATAATGAATGTATGGCTAAGCCCAACCACAATAAAATTATAGCAGGGGTATACTTTTAAAGTTAACAAGTTGGATTTTATCAGACCTGTGTTCTCGGAAGTATTTTGAACAGATAATGAAATTTGCTTTAAATTTTCTTTTTTAAGTGGTAGAAATGAATTTAAAATATTTAAGAATAATTATATAAAATCATAAAGTCTTTCAAAAAGTTAATTGGTAGAATTATAATGAGTCTCTTGTCTTAGGAGTTAAACATAGATGTAGCTGATGTGGAGAGCTTGCTGGTGCAGTGCATATTGGATAAGTAAGTACTTGACTGTTTTGTACTACAAAATGTTTAGGACATAAGTTTGAATAATGATGGCAGTGGTAACAGTTGAATTCTTGATTTGTCATAAAACTCTCTGGCTGTGGTTTTCTATTAAAAGAGATATATGTGTGTGATGGCTTTTTATAAATGAATGATCCTGTTAAGCACATGATCTTTGAAAAAGTTCTAAAAGACTTTTCAAAAGGTTTCTCTTTCAGTATATGACCCATATACAGCTAGAGAATTATTTAATGGATAGTATTATTTTGTTTTTAAAGTTTAAGGTATGATATATAATAGTTTGGAAATTGTATCTTTCTTAAATGCAGTATGTTATTTAAAGCTTCACATATTACATTTGCTCTTGATTAATTGGGTAAGTATATATGCCTGTTGGTTCTTTCAATGAAATTGGTGAAAGGTAGCTGAAATCTGGTTTCTGTCTGAAGTTTGAATAAGGTAGTGAATGTTAAATTAATGCTGAACTCAACCATTCACTGTAGGCAGCAGCTTTTTTCTTTTGCATTTATTGATATTGTGACTATTGTATGAAGTCCAGAAGATATGTTTAGTGAAAATGGTTTGTAGACATGTCTTCTTTTATTTATTTATTTCCAGCACTATTCATGGCCGAATTGATCAAGTCAACCAACTCCTTGAATTGGATCATCAGAAGAGGGGTGGTGCCCGATATACTGCACTAGATAAATGGACCAACCAACTAAATTCTCTCAACCAGGCTGTAGTCAGTAAACTGGCTTAACAGAGAACAAGCTTTTACAGACATACTTAAGTGCAGAGATGTAACCCTTAAAAGAACTGGGAATGGCAAAACTACTGTCGGTTGATGTGTCCCGAAAATTATTGGAGTTATGGCAGAAGTGCTTTTTTTGATCAACTGGTTTGTGTTTTGCTGCTGCATTTATCCCAAGAAAAACAGCTTTAATCTCCAGAAGAAAACCAAAATGCCGTGGGATTTATGCTGTATTGACATCTTGCCCTAAAACATACAACATCATAGTAATTTGTCATGGGCAACATGACCAGAGAGAAGATTTTTGTCATGATTTTAAATACACTGACACGCTACTGTTGGTTAAATTTAAACATGTTTTACCTGCAGAAATTCTCTCACAAATAACCTGCAATAACTTGAAATGCATACCCTTTTGAACACTTCCTTTTCTCATGTATAAATTAAAATGTTTGCTGCATTTTGCAAAATGTCAGTTCTCCAAAAATGTGTCCGTATATTTCTGTACCTGCAGTGTAGTAAAGGTTTAGATGAAACCCCATAATTATAGTGGCATACTGTCACTTAGGTTTCAAGCAGCAAAATAAACAGTGCAGCTCAGAAATTGTAGTTTGGTTCTTGATGCGTTTTTATTACATGTGGGGTTTTGTTTTGTTTTTTAGTACCTTAGAAATGTCAAATTATTTTTCTTCAGTTAATGTTAAAAAGCCTGGGAGCAAATAAGTCAGTTATTTGCTTTCAAGTTTTTAAGGAGAATTAGTTTCTAACAAAACATTTGCATAGTACTTAACTTTGAAAGTGATACTTTAAAGGAATAAAATCCTTTTTTTTTTTTTAAGAATGATACTCCTTTTTAAACGATTCTAACTCTCAGAATGTTCACTTTAAACAAATACGCCAGAATATAGACAGCTAAATGAATGTTACCCTGCATCGTGATCATGCTGGAAAATTGTTTCCTAATTCCAGCAATCTACCGTTGCTCAAAACCTTTTGGGTTTTGCTCTTTTACAATTGCATTCAGAGCTAATTTAAGTCACACACACACTATTAACTTTAAGATTGCATATTGTTAAAAAAAAAAAAAGTATTACCCAACTTGATTGTTTTATAGTTACCATTTTTGGGCACCAAATGTCTTTTGACTGTTTCCAAAAATTAAATCAATCTATGAGGTAATAGTAGGAAGTATGCAACTGTCTTTGAAGGCGATCGCAAAAGAGTTTTAAAGGTATTTTGAGCAGTGGTAGCATAGTTAGGAGAATGAACTGTGGCCTTCCAAGGTGACTACCTTAAAGGAGACGCAGCTCATTTGAATGTATTGAGTTTTGGATGTATTCGTTTCATTTAAGAAAACAAAGTTCACATTATTTTATAGAGTCGAAAGGAAGAACTAAGATTAAGATAATTTGTTTGGTTTTTCTATTGCTTGTTATTTTGTAAAAAGAAGTGAGTGGTAGTTCAGAAGGAAGACTGTTGTAACTGAAGAATGACAACCAAGAATTTTTGATCATTAAATCAGATTTTATAAACAGTGGAAGGAGCATGGACTTAAAAACAAGGCAGGCTTATTTGGTTTTGTCAAAATTTTACGAAAATATGTGATATATATTTATACTAAAACTATATAATCCTTAGATATAGGAGAGCAATCAGTTAATGTCTTTAGCAGATTAAAGCAGTATTAAATACAGGTGCAACTTGAAAATGTAGAAAACTGAAAGAAAATGAAAGACAAAATTAATGTCTCTGGTAGGGAATAAAAAAGTTTAAGATATTATAAAATTATGTGTATTTTTTTCTCTTCTGCATAAATCATTTGTGAAAAATGTGCTAAATTTTTTTTTACAGGAGTAGTAATAATTAGGATTTATTTTTCAAGGTAATTTAGAGACTCTTGTTACCCAAATAAAAATGACAAGTTTCTGTGCCTATATTCAACTATGTATGCATGTGATATAACTGGAAAAAGGTTTTGCTTATATTTGAATTGATGGAATTAGAATTCAAGGGATTTGAATGACGTGATTTAACTCTTACTCTCCAACTCAACATGCCCAGTTCTCCTGTGGTATCTTTGCTGCGTGCAGTAGTGCACCTTCCAGTTTCTAGGGAAAGCATGCACTTGTTATTTTTTGAGAAGCTAGGCTTAGTGTCTAACAACATCCAAACTTATACCATAATCTTCAATTTGTTGTAATTGTATGTATCGCATAGGCTTTGTTTAATAGTCCCTAGATATGGGTTTGTTCTATTTTTAAAGTCATTTGCCACATTTGTTCTTGAACACAGATTTTTGATAAATCCTAACAGCCTGGTGAACTTAAAAATATTTAGGTTTTTTTTTTTCCCCCTTTGAACATTTTCTGTGTTTTTTGCATCAAACCTTTTAGAGGTGAACTCTTAGAGATTGCTTATCAAAATATAACTAAATTTAAGAAAAGTTAAAAAGTGATTGGCAAATTCTTGGCATTTAAATTGCTTGTTAAATCTTGCCCTCTTTTGTGAAAACTGTAGTAACAAGTAGTTTACACCATATTTCTTTTTACCCTAAACCTGGATAAACTCACTTCACAGTAATCTTTGGCTGCCACAAATAGATACTATCTGTTGCAAGAACTGGATTTCCATTACTCATTCTAGCTCTTACACTAATTTTTAAGCTGTTGAGTAAATATTTTTCTCCACATCTTGTGTAACATAACTTTTTTTGTTCTTTAAGTTGAGATGAGATGTGTATGTGTGTACTAAGAATTGCTTTCGTTACAGGAGTCCCTTCTAACTAAAGATTGGTAGTGTAGCCTTCAAGACTACTAAGGATCTGATTTCACATGAGGGTATAGTTTTAGTCCAGCCTGTTTTAAATGGGCTACACTGTGGGCAGTGTAGTATTTTTTTATTACCTTATAATTAGATACCAGTTTGTCTCTGACTGAGAAACAGCTGCTCTTTATATTTAATATATCCATGATAGTAAAAATTTTTAAAGGGATTTTCTTTTTTCTTTTTTTATTTTTTTATTTTTTATTTTTTTATTTATTTATTACTTTTGGCTGTGTTCGGTCTTCGTTGCTGCGCGCAGGCTTTCTCTAGTTGCGGCAAGCGGGGGCTACTACTCATTGCGGTGCGCAGGCTTCTCATTGCGGTGGCTTCTCTTGTTGTGGAACATGGGCTCCAGAGTGCAGGCTGAGCAGTTGTGGTGCACGGGCTTAGTTGCTCCGCGGCATGTGGAATCCTCCCAGACCAGGGCTCGAACCCATGTCCCCCGCACTGGCAGGCGGACTCCCAACCACTGCGCCACCAGGGAAGGCCCAGGATTTTCTTTTTTAATCAGTAGTCTTTATAATTCTTCAGTAAACTCAGGTAAGTACACTTTTCTTTTGGGTTGTGCTTGGGAGTGAAGGTGTCCAGTTAGCATATGAAGCAGATTATGCTGGTATAGAACGCCAGTTTACTCAAGGATAAAAAGGTATTTGCCTAGTGTTTCCCTCTTACGTTATTTAAGGGACTCAGAGATACTCTAAACATTTATTTACCAAGCCTGCTTTTTAAAAATAATAGTATTTTAGTACTGCTTTAAATAAACCTGAGAAATTTTCATTTGATTTAGGTCATTAAAGCAAAACTTGAGCATGCAAATCTCTAGTAAAGCTAGCAGTTTCATTCTTTATATGGGATTTATTCATCTTTTATATAGGATTTATAACATTTTGAAGGAGATAAACATCATTTTGAACTGACATATGTAACAAAAAATAAAGAAGGAATTGGCTTTTGGGTTTTTTTTGTTTTGTTTTTGTTTTGAGATATAATCGACATAGAACATTTTAAGGAATTGACTTTTAACTATTTTGTTTCAAAGTGTTAATACTATCCAGGGACTTAGAACAAGAGCCTGGCTGTCAGGTCCCAGAGCTTGAAGCCCAAGGAGTTTCCCTTCCTTTTTTTTTTGGAGTTTTACTTGTTTTTGTTGTCTTTGTATTAGGTTTTCTTACCCCCTCCCCCTCCTCCTCCCCAGGCAGTATCCTGTATTTGTTTTGATACAATTATAAATAGGAATAATTTATAAGAACTTTCTTAATGTAGGCATACCAGAGAGTCTTAACTTTCTAAATGTAAGTATATCAGGCTCTGTTTAACTCAAGATTATTAAATTTTACTACGTATCTTCTAGCTAGTGTGTGCCCTTAATGGCATGGGTTAAGCAGTGGTTGAAAAATTGTGTGTACTTCACTTTGAATGACTAGATGAGATTTGAAAAGGTTTAACTTTAGGAATTTCAAGACAAGTTAAAATAGTAATGCTGTTTGGAGAATTTATGTTTATTGATAGTAGGCACCACAAAACAACTGTGTCAGTAATTCTAAATATTCCTCAAAAAGTTAAAATTTAGTATCACTCAGTTTGCTTTTGAATCTTGAAAATATTTGTTTAACTTAGGTAATGTCCCAGAAGAAGCCAATGTGTGGTTCTCTAAATTTTTACTTCTTTAGTGTCATGTGTTATTTTTAAACCTGCTGGAATAATTAAAAACCAGTCTTATGACATCAAATCTTATGATATCAAAGGTAGATGCCAACTCTACCTTAAAACCCTGTGATAGGCAAGAAAAAGATTGTTTCTTAAATACTTATCTTACTGTTTGGGGCCAACTTTGTTTCTCCTTGGCCAGGATTTTACATTGTAAACTCGGTTAGAATAACCACACTAATGGCTGGCAAGTACTATTTTTTGTAGGCACGTGTGTGCGTGTGTGTGTGTGTGTATACATACTTGTGGGAGTACAAAATTTACTCCCCAGTCCATCACAGTAATTTTTTTTTCCAGTTTCCATTAATATCATTTGTTTCTTACTCAGGTATATGTCATTGAAAGAATTGCCAGTGTACCAGTAACTTCTATGTTTGACTTAGGTTTTGTGTGGAAGACAGTGTCCAGATATAATCCAGAGGTATTAGGTTGGTTTTTTTTGTTTGTTTTTTGAGTCTGAAATAGGGCATTTTTAAATCAGTGGATAAAAGTTGGGTTTTTGGACATTATTTATCCTATGAGTTTATGGAGTTAAAGTAATCTAGAAGTTTTAATCATCCCATAAAGTTGTCAAAAGTTTGCATGCTTACTGTATTAGTAACATATTAATGCTGTGTCGAATATCTAATTTTTGTTAAAATGTTTGCCTATCTCCTACTATTTAGTAAAATACTAAGTTTTTATGCATCTATTTTAAATAACACTGAGGATAATTAAAATAAATTTTCAACTGTACGTCAACAAAGAAATGGAATGATGTTATGAAAAATGCAAAGTTGTTTGATTTTGCAATTCGTTACATAGTTTACATTATGAGTTTTCTCAATTTTCTTTTCCTTAAGCTAGTGTTAAAAATGACATAAATTCCTTGAGCTCACTAACTAGGTGGTAGGAAGCGTGGCAGGGGATGTCTACCTGAAATTGGAAGTCCCACAAATTAATACTTGAGAATCAAGTGATATGTGCAGAATGAGTCACAAGATGCTTTAAGACTTAGGTACTCAACGGCTTTTGACTGGAAGTACACATTTTTTATCAGTAATAAAAATTACATAATCTACCTCTTAAACATTTACTGTGTAAATATTAATCTCAATTAGCACAAGACCAGCACAATGGCTTTAAATAGTACACTTTATATATTTGATCAAATAATTCAATGTATACTTTAATAAAATAGCTTTTGAATATTTTAGGTATGTTTCTCAGAAAACTACTGAAAGTCTTACTCATTTGGTTTGGAAATCAGGGTTTAAATATTTTCCACTTTTAAGATTACCTTGTTCTGCTTTGCAGCATTCACGGAGGAGTTGGCCTCTCCTGAACCCTGTTTAATGGTCTGTTATGGAACAATTCATGTTGCAAGCAAATGTCTCAGGAATTAAGCCTTCAGTATAAAATTAAACATTTCTAAGCAGGTAATTAAGTCAAGAGGAGGAAGAAATGTACTCTCCCAAATCCCTATTATGGTGCTCTAAAAAGAATACTTCAAGGGCTGCAACGTCTAAGAAACCACTTGTGAATTTTTTTGTATATAAAAATAATATTGTTCTCAGGTGTAACCTTCAGCCTAGTAGAATGGGCCAACTCTGACCTCGAAATATAATAATGCAATCAGTCAGCTTTTGAAAGTCAAAAAAACTTACAGATTAATAGCCCCTATGGTCAAGGTTCCAATGTAAATGTATAAAACCAATGCCACTGCATATTGCAAATCCTTTGGCCTTCCAAGTTGCGGGAGTTGGAGAAAAAGAGTGAGGCCGTTTACTGCCTACTTCAGCAGCATTTCAAACAGCAGTGGAAGGTCATGTGTTGATAGTATTATCCCAGCAAGGAACTACATAAGTAATATACATCTAATATTTTGAGTTGTGTTTTTATTTGTTGTACTTAATAGTTTTACAGTCCCAACTCAATTTTAGAGTAATGAATGGAAATTTATAGTTTTCTTTCTAGAAACCTATTTTAAGTTTTGTCGTTATGATTGATCTTCCGTAGGTTAATGGCCTTCAACCGAAGAAGGGTTACCTATCTTGGACCTTTCAAAAGTGAGTTGTATTGTGAAAGAATATAGACCACAAACTGAGGTACTTTATTGAGTAGGGTAGAGTTGATATTTAAAACTTGATCTTTCACCTTTCTCATAATCGTTGTCTTCACCACCAAGAGACAGGAAAGAAATCTAAAAGTGCTTAGAATACTAAAGGAACATGCCCTTTTTATAACCTCATCTGTTTATTTAACAGATATATATTGTGTGCCTACTATGTGCTAGGGACTGTGTGCTATATCCTAAGTTTGAAGGATATTGTAAGGAACAAGTCATCCCTGTGCTCAAAGAGCTTAGTTCTATAGGAAGAAGCAGATAAATAGATAATTTCAGATAGAGAAAAATTCAGTCTGTAAAGATGGGGCAGGAATCTCTGAGGATATGAAAGTTGGTTTCACACAGGAATGAGGAATGGAGTTGGCCATGCAGATCTACAGGAAGAGAAGTCCAGGCAGAGAGGTTAAGTCCACCTGAGATGGGACGGGTATATTAAATTCAAGCAAGGTAGAGTGTGATATTAAACAAGATGAGAGAGCCAGTCAGGGACCAGATTATGGGTAGTCTTATAATTTGATAATGAGTTGAGATTTTATTCTAAATACAATGGGAAGCCATTGGAAATTTAAATTTTGATATATCATTTTAAAAGATGACTCTGGCTATTGTGTGGAGAAATGATTATTTGGGGCAATAATGCGACCAGGAGACCAGGAGGAGCCCATTGCAGAAGTCTGGGACATAGAATAGAGGCTTTTAAAAGCGACTAGGATTTGGAAAGAGCACAGAATTGGGATAGGCGATGGGATTTGCTTATGAATTGGAATTGAGGGTTGTAAAGGAAAGAGACAACAAGAATGGCTCCCAGGTTTCTTACTGAGCAACTGGTAGATAATGGTATCATTAAATGAAATGGGAAGATTGGAAGCACAGTTTTGTCAAGAGGCAGAGCCAGCCAGCAAAAGAAACAAAAGTGAACTAGGAGCTTGGAAATAGAGTAGTATAACAGAAACTAGAAATTTCAGAACAGAGTGGTCAACTGTGAATGCTGCTGAGAGGTTAAATAGGATGAGGGCAGAGAAGGGGCCTCGGATTTAGCAAAATACAAGTCTTTGGGGATGCTAATGAGCATCTTCAGTGGAGTGATAAGGGTGTTCCAGCTCTTCAATTGGACTGTGAGAAACTTCTTTAAATAGTCACTGTCCTTAGTTTCTCCTTATAAATTGAAGATTAAAAAAACAATAGTCCATCTTTTTTATATCTTCTGAATGGTAAGCAGCATAACTTGGGAAAATTTGAAATACGGCAAACCATAACTCCAGACGTTAATAACAACCTTCTAAAGTGTCTCTTCCTATAGAATATTTTAAAACCTGTTTTTCCCCCTTTCCGACACTGTATATTTATAAGCATTTAATTTAAAATTTTTCTGTGATGCCTATTAACTATGAAATTGTATGAAATCCATGGCTTTACCTAACATTTTTATATCCGTAAGAATGGATTCGTTATATATGTAAACAAAGCCCTTTCAGCTTATCGACTTTCATTATATCTTGGGGATATCAAGATAGCTGAATGTTAATGTCACCAAAATCATGAATTCTTGAAATGTTGGATTTATCTTCAAGGAACTAGTTCAGACATAAATAATGCTATAACAATTAAGCTTTGGTATTTTGAGTAACCTCAAATTGACAGTGGAACAGTATGTCTTATCCTAAAATTATTGTGTTTTACCTGAAAGTATACATTTGCTTACATACTTGAATACCTGTGAAGCAATTAGAATAATTAAATTTACAGGTCATTATATCTCAGGATTATAGTAGTCATTTTCTGCCATCAAAAATCAGGAAACAATTAACAAGGGAGATTGTGCTTCTGAGGATAAAATATGTGAACTCTCAGGCAGGTTTCCATCTTAAAGATGCATTTTGCAGCTTCCCAGGGGACAGGAGTGTGGTAAAGTAGAAAGATCTGGGGGGTGGAGACCTGCATTCTTCAGCTGGCCATGAATTGAGACCTTGTCACTTAAATTCTCTGATATCAAACTTCCTTAGTTGAGTTATTCTTTTTAACCTCAAGTATTCAGAATTGAGAAAATCATAATCTTGGCATATGTTTTTTCAGTTTACTTTCCATGTGTTTATTTAGGTATGTGTATATCTTAAAATAATATGCATATGTCTATTTTTAGTTTCCATAAATGGTATAAATTTGTTATTTTTTAAACTTTTTTTAATAGATTTATTTTTGGCTGCGTTGGGGTCTTTGTTGCTGCATGCAGGCTTTCTCTAGTTGTGGCAAGTTGGGGCTACTCTTAATTGCAGTGCATGGGCTTCTCATTGCAGTGGCTTCTCTTGTTGCAGAGCACGGGCTCTAAGCACATGGGCTTCAGTAGTTGTGGCTCATGGGCTTCAGTAGTTGTGGCTCACGGGCTCTAGAGCACAGGCTCAGTAGTTGTGGTGCACGGGCTTAGTTGCTCTGTGGCATGTGGGATCTTCCCATACCACGGCTCGAACCCTTGTCCCCTGCATTGGCAGGCAGATTCCTAACCACTGTACCACCAGGGAAGTCCCTTATTTGTTGCTTTTAAATCTAGTTCACTACTCCTGTTTTATCTCTCCCATCTTGTACATATGGCACAATTTACCTTTTCATTTCTCTAGTGATAGATATCTGTGTTCTTTCCATATCCTTACTACAGTAAATACTTCTGTGATAAATATTTTGTACCTATCTCCTTATGGACTTGTGCAAAAATTACTCTGGGGTATGTAACTGGAAATACTGGTTGGGTCCTGGGGCATAATACTTAATTTTACTAAATACTACCAGATTACTCATCAAAATGACTCCACCATTTATGCTCCAACCAGTAGTGCATGAGGGTTTTGGTTTTCTCCTATCCTTGACAGCCCTTAATAATATCTGACTTTCTAAAGTGATATTTACTGTTAATTTTAACTTACAATTTTGTAATTACTAATCTTGAACATCTCTTCATACACTTAGCCATTCAGGTTTCCCTTTCTATGGACTACTCTTGTTTTTCTGTTTCTTTGTTTCGGTTTGTTTTTTGTTTTTTTATGGACTACTCTTCACCTTCTGTTACTGGCTTCCTAATTTTTTAACTGATTTGTGGGAGTCATTGTATATTCTACATAGTAACTCCTTATCTGTCTTCTTTTAGATTTGCAAGTATTCTCTGAAGTATTGTCTCTGGCTTCCTTCATTGAACAGAAATCTTTCATTTTGATGTTAAATCTATCCTTTTTTTTCTCCCTATTGCCCATACTTTTCTGGATCTTGTTTAAGAAGTCCTTTCTTATACCACGAAAACATTCTTTGATATTTAACCCCTTTATATTCAGTCCTTTATTTGGAGTTTTTGTGTATGATTTGACGTAGGAATCAAGCTTTATTTTTTCTGTGTAATGAGCTAATTTTCAAAGTACTATCTACTAAATTAGTACTCTTTACTGATTAGTGATGTCACCTTTTTCAACTACCAAGATTCTACATATGCAAGGGATATATTTCTGGGCTCTCTAATCTGCTTAACTGTTCTACTTGTTCCTTTAGCAGTATTTTATTCACCTTGTATTTTTATTACTGAGCTGAGTATTGTCTTAATAACAGGAGACTCTCCCCACCCAATTTTGAAAATCATTTTAGTATCCATGCACCTTCATTTTTCTATATGAATTTTGGAATCAGTTTGTCAAGTTCCCTTAAAGTCCTGTAGTTTTAATTGGAATTGTATTGAATTTAGAGAATAACTTGTTTCTTTTTATGTCATCTTAGAGAGTTTTTAGTTTTTCTCTATAAACCTCTTGAGCATTCTTTGTTATATTAATTTCTATATCTTTCTAGTTTATTTTCGCTTATTTCCTAAAACATTATTATTTGGTTATTTTTGGGACAAAAGAGTGATATTGATATTTGCATACTGATTTATTTTAATCTATCAGACTTGCTGAACCTTATTCTATTAATAGTTGATCTGTTGATTATCTGTGTTTTCTATGTAGATAATCATATTATCAAGAAAATAATTATACCTTTATCCATTTCCTTCCATCCCTACACCTCTTATTTCTTTGTCTTATCTTCATTGCTCGGGGTCTCCAATAACACATGGAACAGTAGTGATAACAGCCAGCATTCCTGTCTCAAAGAAAAAGTGCCTTGAGTTTCTCCATTAGGTATGAGGTTTATGATCAGTTTAGGGGTAGGGGAGTTAGCATTCAATAAATGAAGTTTCCTTCTATTTCTCTTCTCCTGAGAGGTTGCGTGTGTGTGTGTTTTTGTTTTTGTTTTTGTTTTTAAATCACAAGTAGGTTTTGAGATTAAGTGTCTCTGGACCTAATAAGATGAACATGTGATTTTTCTCTTTTTGTCCCTTCATGTAGTGAATTATACTCATAGATTTTCTAATGTTAACTCATTCCTACATTCTAGCATAAACTCAAACTGATTATATATTCTTTTTCCATACAGTGTTGGACTTACCAGCCAACATTTTATGTAGCAGTTTTCCATCATGTTTTTAGGTGAAATTGGCCTATAATTTTCTATTTTTGGATTATCCTTAATCAAGGTTATTTTATATCATAAAATGAATAGGCACCTTTCACTATATTTCTATTTTTTTACAACAATGTGTATGATGTGAGCATACTCTGTTCTTTGGAAAAGCTCAGTTGTAATGCTGTTTGGACAGACTTTTTAGAAACAGTAAGATTTTAAATTATTATTTCAATTCCTTTAATCTTCATCCTTTCATATATGATTATACATCTGTACAACTGTTCTGCTTCATCTTTTGCTATTTTGACATTATATTTGTTTTCAGAAATATGGGACTTCCCTGGTGGTCCAGTGGGTAGGACTCCATGCTCCCAATGCAGAGGGCCCGGGTTCAATCCGTGGTCAGGGATCTAGATCCCGCATGCATGCTGCAACTAAAGTCTGTATGCTGCAACTAAGACCTGG